AACTTACCTCAAACCTGCCGGGATGCTGATTGCTTCCACAGGTTGGGGAACTATTGGCCCGCATTTTAACCAGGCATTTTAGTTTTGAAAAAATCGGAAGCTGGAAACTTAGCAGAACTGCACTTCTTGCCCATCAAATTCTCGGTAGTAGCACGGGTCCTAGGTGGATGCACGCTATTTTCTTTCTTTTTTTTCTTCAATTTCATTGGTGTATTTGCTTCACTTCTGCCAGAGATATCCTTCTATTTTTGGCGACGTGAAATCAATATCAGTTTATTGAGGGGAAGATAGGCGAATGCCTTTCAGCTTCCTATTCGTAACAAGATAGCAAAAAATGCATAAGTACAAAAGAAAATAGAAAAAAATACTTCAATTGCATGCTTGCAACCGAATAGTCAAAAGCGGTTGGTGTCGAAATAGTAGTAAATGGTGGCTACTCACTTAGAACGAGTAGTGATTAATGTGTTTTATCGGTACTCACAGGAGCTAATGTAATGACCATTTTCATTGATTTTTGTCACCCTTGGCTATGTGAATAAACGTCACCCCAGTGTGCCTTCTACCGTGGTAGGTCGTTCATCTCAACGACCAACCAAATCTTCTGTCGATTCTCTGGTGTTACCTGCAACATAAAATTGACCATAAATGGCCATTCCGATCTCCCTGGACTTTGCTACCTCATCGGGATCATCATGATATATTTACCCGATGTGTTAGGCTTATTAGTATGCATAAGTCACACTGGACGAGCCCTCCGTAACCTAGTGGAGTTAGGTCTTTTCCAGGATTACTTGCTTTAGGATCTCACTTTTTCTGCATTAAGTTAGTCATGTTTTGGTGCCTATCAACTTCAATCTTGCCCTTTTTTACTAGCAATCACCCTACCAACTCACTTACTTCTATTTGAAACTGGCACAGAAACTGGTTCTGTCACGAGGACCACCACTATTAGTTTAGGTCACATCCAAGCCTCTGCTATCTTTCTCATGTCCATTTAAGGACTGCAATTCACCTACTTAGTAACCACTTCATTTTGTATTAGGGTAGAGTGCCCGCTCATTCGGCGGCGGAGAACGGCAACCAACACGCGCTTGTCTGGCTGCTAGATGTTGAGAAGGTCTGCACTGTGGATGTGAGAGACAACTCCGGTCTCACACCGCTTCACTTGGCCTGCCTCCAGGGTGACCGAATCATCCTGGAGTGTCTTCTGGCATCCATTCGCCACTCGCGTCCTTGGACGACAGCCGCCGATGTTGAGGCCCCCATCACCAACCCCATTCTATGCCAGGACAATATCGGCAACACCTGTCTGCACACCGCTTTCCTTGAACATGTGGGGAGGTTTTTATTTTTACACTTACATATCTACTTTTGCTTTTTTGTCATTAATAATGGCACATGGGGAACATTAGACCACAGTCCCTCCGGAAGCCAGTCTGTCATTTATCGAAGCATGTCGGTTGTTCTAGTTAGTTCCACTCTTAAAGTGCGACTGACTGGAAACCAGAAAGTTTAATTATGCTGCAAAAGGAGTGCTTGAGATGCAAGCGATAGTGCGAATCCCGGGCAGTACTTGAGAAGTAGACGCGATCGCCTGACGTTTCGGTCTCCAGCTTAAACCAATCTTCAGAGACCGCACCAACTACGAATAATTCATAAAGAAGGAGATGCAGTATTTAGAGGAGGAAACCGCCAGGCTACTGCCTACCTATGGTAATAAACAGCTCCCCCTTCATCGAGGATAATTGCCCTCTACTGCGTTAATTGCTTGATGGCCGTCATGCGGGTCGTTATCTGCTGAAATTGCAACTCCCTGTTGGAGGATAACTTGATAATGGCCTAGGCACCTAGCTTACCGGCATTGACCTTTGAAAATTAGTTGATTGCCTTGGCCAAACTAAGTCTCGGCACCGAATGTGCGTTGGGCCGGTCATTGCACTTGTTTAGGGGCCTGTAAACCATGGCTCAAGCAACTCGCGGCTCATGCTCTTGTCATCTCTCGCGAGAACTTCGACTTCATCGACCTTAAATGTGTGGCCGCGTCTCGTCGAATGAGCCCCGACTTGAGAATTGGCATAATTTATCCGCACTGCTACCGCGTGTTCGGCAGATGGGTTCGATCTGGAGTCAGAAACGTCAGGCGAATAATTTTCTTGTTCTAGCGATCGCGTCTACTCTTTTTCAAGTACTTGGGTTAGTCTGCAAGTTGATACTGGAGGGATAGTAGCGAACTGATAAGTGATCCTGACTAGCTTTTACCCTCGAAATTTGCTTTCTCACGCTCGGAGAGCTCAGGCAACTTGCCGGAATCATCATCAGCAGCGAGTCATTTGTAAAATGACGTGGCCCGTTACCATATAAACCGACAGTTTTTATTATTATTTTCACAGGGCGCTCAAGTACTGAAGCTAGGTGTTTTAAAGTTCTATTGTTTGTAACTAGAAATCTGACAGTCACAATCCCCTGCTGCTGCATACTATATTACAAAGAGCCAGACTACTTAAAAGTGCCTTAAATTTGCAGAAGCGAATACCAACAAACACAAAACAGACTGAAATGGTTATTTCTGACTTATTAATCAGCAGACAGCCGTATTCAGATATGGGTTTGGGGCAGCGGGAATTCGATCCCGGGATCTTTGCTCATTCAATTAAAAGCCCTAAATATTGAACCAGGGGTGATCGGTGAGTCATAACTATGTTAGAAGGGTGTTCACTGATCGGGGTTGGGTGCGCCTGTCTTTTGACACTTAGCAAGCCAAAAGTGGCAATTCCAGCCGCCCTCGTCATTAGTTGTACTGTCATTCTGTATATACTGTACGATGACTGAGTAACTCTAGATCAAACCTCGAGGCAACGCGAATGGTGAGGGCCCCTTTATCACAACTGACGAACCGACAGGCCTGTGACTCCATGGATACAGTGTGGAACTTCTAACCAACAGAACGCGGGTTCGAGCTTCTAGGGTTAGGTATGGCTAGCTGATGGGTGCCTTTTGAACGAATAACTTTCGGATGTGCGCATGCTGCTACAAGGTAGGGTTAATTCGCCGGATCTAATCAGCATTTTGGTCTGGTGGGTCGCAAAGTACAAAAGCTACCCAGGTGGCCATGGCCGCAAAACCCAAGTGTGAATTATCGAAGATCTACAATTTGCCACTGAACACTGAGACAGCGTTCTTCATTTTTATTTAGGGGGTTTGGCAGTAACCTAAATTACTAGGGGGTTATACGACAGGATTTAAAAGCATGTATGGCGCAACAATGACAGCAAACTTGCAGTGCAGATGAGCCGAGAACCAGTAGCCTGTTCCAGTCAATGTCTCGGGTGAACATGGGAGTGGTGGCGTTCACTGGTTTAAAATCATGACCTTCAGTGTTTGCCTTGAGTCTCAGGTCTTGCACTTTGTCGCAGGACTACGAGAAGTATTACCAACGGTAGCTCGCGTTTCGGTCCCCATCCTTCAAGGAAAATTGGGGACTTTTTTAATTCCGTGGTGATTTTTCAGTGTTATCGTGGTCTGCCGTTGTCTTGATTGTTTACCTATTTGTCTGGAAGTCTGAATAACCAGCTTCCATGCTGTTTGTAATAGGAAATTTTACAGTACCCCGCACTTCCGCACTTTACAGTCACCCTACCGGACACAGCGCAAAACAGCAGGACGTGCCATCTTTTGGACTC